TATATAGCGTGCCGTGTGATCGTGTGAACCATATAATATACATAGACACATGCATAGTACCACAGAACAATAGTCAATAATAGTGCATACCTATACAGTCAATTAAGTATATTAACGACACGTCTATACGTGCAATATAGCCTATAGGTATACACATGGTCGAATATGTGTTAAGCATTGGATTGTTAAAATAATGTTTAATTGTTTATGAGGGTATAGTCTTTTAATCACGATAAAGAAGAGAACCATTGATAGACGATGATACAAACGCAATTCAGTAACTATATCAGATTTCACTTACAGTACCGCAGTTCAATATAGGAACACCGTGAAAAAAAACAACAATAATTGTTTATTTTTTAGCAAAAAGCAAAACATAATTATTAAACATATTATACAATAAAAAGTATAGAAGTAAACACCAAAAATACGAATATTTCGAATAAATTGTCGTTAACTACAACAAAATAAGTCTAAAACGTGTTTATTATCAAAATTAATGCGGTTCTAATATTGAAATGTTCAGTTATATTTATTTATTTCGTGTGGCGTAGATAGTATTATATATCCACCGTTTTATCAAATTAAAAAAAAGTAATTAGTTAATAAAATAATGACTATGGTTTTACACTGTCTGATATAACATATTAAAATATTTGTTTTTTATTAATTTAAAGTTTAATACATTGTACATAGTGATTGGTGAGTTAATAACTGTAAAAAAAATAAACGTACAATTTTGTGTAAATAGTGATCAAAGATAATTATCAATAAATAATAATACTGACAAATTATGATGACAATTTCAATGTATACAATGTGTGTTTAATGATTGAATAGGGAGTCTTAAATATATTTATTTCAATGTCTCTTCTCTCTTTAACACTAGTTTTTAAGCCATCAACTCAAGCTATACACAAACGTAGGTCATGAGTGAAATTAATAACATAACGGTTGATTTCATATTATCATTGTATAGGCGAGGTTAGTGAGAGCATAACCAAAAACCGAAATTGCACACAAAGTGTTATTAAAATATAAAATAAACTCAAAGAGCAATGATTTTTTGAGGCAATAACGTAATCTTCTGTAATAAGTAATAATGCAATATGTCTTTAAATTATACGAACTTTTCTATTTAGAAGCATCACTACATCAGCTTACTGGCAAACAATATATTATAATAATAATTGATTAATTAATGAATAATAATTAACAACAATAAGAAGGCATCATTGTTGTATTGGTGTGGTCTGTGACCCGTAATTTATTATATTATAGTACAGAAAAAAATGTTTTAACGCATTTATTTACAAATTTCAAAAATATCACTCCTCAACAATTAAGACACTTGGCACCTTATTACCAACCCCATGTCAATTTATTTACCAACAATAATCGTACCAGGTAACTTGGTCACTGAAATTTTATCCACTATTCAGAGCCTCAAAGAGTTCAGTTTGTTTTCAAAAAAACATCAGCTATTTGGAGGTGTCCGTTAGGAGCAGTCTTACTATACATATTTACATCGCAGCGAAAGAAACAACGATGGTGCAGGAATCTGCAAAAAAAGGAAGCACAATGACAGCGCCTCAAACACTCGTCAACGTTCCGCGTGCGCGAGTTAAACGGCGGTGGTATACAAAACAATCGCATCATAACAGTGTGTTTTATCCATAGACATTATACTTATAGTCTTATCGTATAGTAAATATTTTAATTTAACGAATAAGCAGGATAAAAAAGCGGTTGGTAAGTCGCGAGCGCCAATCACCGTTTTCCCGGAAACCCAAGTGCGGCGGTGACTATAGAGTCCGATGGTATAATAGTTGACCCGTGTGTTAGTGTTGTTGACTGGTGGAGCGGCGGTGCAGGTGACAATCGCCGCAAAGTCGCCTGGCACCAGCCACGCTGACGGATTCCACCGGAGTTAGACGAATCTCTTGTTGTATACCTCCTGCTGCCGGCGTGCCGCCCGGCTGGCGCCGTCCAGTCCACGGATAATGAAAACCGGTTGACCGTACACTTACCTCTCTCCAAGTCGAGCCAGGCCGACCCACCACCCGCCGTGTATCCGGTGTAAACCCGTTGTGTGTGTGTGTGTGTGTGTGTGTGTGTGTGTGTATGTAACACCAATAACACGGTCACCGCACCTTTTTAGAAAACACCCTCCTCCCGCATGCCCAATTCTTTAAAAACTAAATTATTATATACTTATAATACCTATATATGAGTATGAGATAATGTTATACACCCATCTATTATACATTCGGATCAAGCGAATTTTTTTTGCCTAACAAAATATACTCTTAACGTTGTGTGTATGTGCAAAAACTCAAATGCCGTTATATATAATTCTGTATATGTACCGATAACCTCGGTTTTGTTCATCATCGATAATTTTTGAAAAAAGATTATCGACATAATAATAAAATGTATTGATATATAAGACTTTGTACAACAAGTACATTGTACAACACCGTATACATTTTTTATTACAACCAATGAACGCGTATAATTTACTCGACAATCTACACTCGACACAAATTAAACAATAATAAACAATATAAATATCTATAAATATTATAAATATAAATATCTATTTTAAATTACTATTCATACGTCATAAACCCAAAAAAATTGTTATGTATGCATACCACAGTCGTCAAGATCGCAAGACATACACTTCCGATTCGTGCGATAGTACACATTATACGCGAGTAACCCTACGTCATAATTAGCAGAATAATAAAAAAGTTAACAGTAATATTCATTTAAACGTGAGACTGAGCCTGTTGTAACGTTTTGTAACTTAGTAATTCACCTGCGAATTGCGATGTTTTAGTTAATTTCAAACAAACGCTTAGTCCCAATATCCATTACACAATATGATAAAAAAATTTAATTTCAACATGTTTGCTAAAAACGTGAGGTCAGTGGATGAAACAATTTTTTTTAGCGGCTTACTGAGTGAACGTCACCTCTAAAACACTGAATAACGAATATGTAATTACTAATTACCAACGGTACAAGCAAATGGGATGCACTTTTCTTAGTTCTGGACGTTGAATTGTATGGATTTATCAGTTGTTTGTTGATCATACAATATATAAATTATAATGAATCAAACACTAGGTATATCAATTAGTATTTAGTATGAGTAATAAATTAGTAAGAGGTAAACAGTCGTTCTGATAACGTCGTATGACGTGTTGTACAATATTGTTATAATTTGTTGATAATAATTAGACAAATCGCAAATTGTATCAAGAGGTTGTAGCCGCCCAAACGTAATACGTGTATATTTCTAAAAATGTCCAAGGAACGGTGGGGCAGTGAATAATAAGCTATAATAATATCAATAACCAATAAGTAATAAGTGATAGGAGTTTACCAATGGGCTATTAAACATAATATTATTATACAGTAACAGAAAACGAAAATAGTCTCGAAGAACAACGTCAAGCCGTACACTATTATTATTACTCATCGGGCCGAAACCACTTGTTAGAATGCCCCACCCCTCTTCACCGCTCATTCCGATACGCAACCATGCATTATTATTATTATTATTACTATTATTATTTATTACTATACGATACCGCGTGCTTGATCGTTGCGCGTTACAATCGTTTACGACGCGCCGCCGCTCTACGTATACACCGTACAAGTACAACGCGCACCGAGAGCGTACACAGTACACACACATACACGTATATTGTAATATTATTATTTATTATAATATAATCATGTACGCGCGCGCACCGAAGACTCGAGCGCCTCTGCCATCACTTACGAGGTACGACGCAGACGCGCTCGTCGTCTAGCTCACGGGTTATTTACAATTTTATGCGTAAACGCGGAGGAGAACAGGTGCCCGGGAGAACCCGGTTGTAAACATTGGCCGTTTATATACGCGCGCGCTCGAGCAAGGCAGTCCCGTGGCCCCGGTATAGGACGGCGTGCGTCGTAGCGGTGATAATGTGGGTGTGGAGGGAACGGTTGGTCGCCCGGAGAGGCGAGGGGAGAGGGACGACGCGATATGCCAATAACGCAATACAAGGAACCTTGGTGCCGACGACGTGGCCGTGACGCGGGGTGGGGGTGACGACGACTGTATAATGATGCACGCATACGTGTGTATATAAATATACGTATGTATGTGTGTGTGTGTGTTTGGTGCACAGCGGCAACGTGGGAATAATGTGTGTGTGTGTTGTGAGTAAGATTCCGCTGGGGACTCCTCGTGACCCGTTTGACCGGGGGAACGGTAGTGACTAGTGAAGGGTGGTGAGGTGGTGGAGGACAGTGCCGGGGATAACAACACACGCACCGCCTGCCTTAGTGCCGTGACGATGACGGTGGTTGTGGCGGTCGGACCGGGTCAGGGGGAATCCGCACATTTCTCCGCGTACAGTGCATACTCTACGGTAACTATACAATATACCGCGTGCCGAAAATCAAATAAGAAAAATGTATATATATGTATACACAGAACGTAATAATAATATTATACCGTTTGTTGTTGTTGTTGTGGTTGTCGAACCGACGATGTTATGGTACAGCGATAAACCGCAGCGAAGAGAAAAATGACCGCCAACCAATGATAATAAAATGAGAAACAGACGTGGTTAAAGGTCGAGAACCATTGGGTTTCGCAAGTCCACAGTAACATTATATGTCGATTGTCGTTTAGATTTTACAATAAATTGCTCTCGTATACATCACAAAATAAAAGGGCTCGTAATCTATTTACATATAACTAGTACACTCTAACGGATAAAACGACAAATTGACAATGTAATATTTAATTCCACCACACTCGATTGAATCTTAACGCGCGCATCCGGGAGGATTTAATTTTTGGCGAGCAAGATTAGTGGGCTTTGAACACGTCTCAGACTCTCGCAGTGCCTTACACAGCAAAAGCCACATATCATTCTGCAGTATATTAATATTATACAATCATAGTTTGAAACGAAAACGAATCCGATACTTACATTTAACAGGGACTTCCCCTGGAAATCTTTTTCGCAGCATAGTTTTACATTCCAAAGACATCCGGATCCCGGATTCCCAAAAAAATCGTCACCAGTTGTATGTGCGGGGAACGTACTCGATGACCGCCGTCTATGCCCATAATTCCAACGTCATTAATCGTGTACAAACCGTAGAACAATAAATATGTATGCTATATCGTGAAGAACGAAATAGAAATGGGACACAACAAAAATAATTGTAACAATTTAATTTTTAAAAAATAAACAAACATTAACGAGCGTCTCCGTAAGGAAGAGAGAATGAATAATAATGATAAATACAAAATTGATCAGCCGACGGAAGCACTAATGACATAAGCGGCGTGCTCACATGCTGAACAAGTGTTTACTACTGGTGGCCGTCGGGCTTGGGGATAACGACGACGGCGACTACGACGGTCTACGCTACGGGCCGCTACGACGACAACGTACGTGAGCGCGCGGGGAAAGGCATCTGATGGTCGGTGCGGTGGTGGTAACGGGCGTTCATGAATGACAGGCGGGCGAGTGGCGGGGCCGCGTTCCGATCGTCTGGTCACGCGGCTGGTGGTGCAGCGGGGGTTTGCGCACAACGGTGGCGCCCGTTTCCGCCCGTCCGCCAAGCCGTATGCGCGGTACCCGATAAACACGTGTTGGTCCGGATCGCCGTGACGGTCGTGATGGGCGGGTACGGGGTGGTGTTGTTGGGAAACACTCCGGGATATCCCCCGCGCAGCCGGCAACACACCGGCCGCCGACGTGCACGCCACGCGACCGCAGCGCTGTCAAGCGTGCAATTCGAACAACCGATCGACTATACCGTCGTCGAGCACGCCGCACTCCGAACATGGTGAACCGCCTTGGAGTTTCGGAAAATAGTGAAATGAGTAGTCGGTACTGCGTAACACTTAAACGCGTAAAATAGGTGTACCCGACCACCACTTAGTTGATTTTGAAAATCGAAAAAATCGTCTGACACTCGGAGTGTAGGACAATATGCATAACGACGGACCGGGTAGCTTTAACAGTACCTACGATGTTATTTTTTGTAATGTACAAATGTACAATACTTGTAAATTGCCCATGAGATAGTTACAAGAAATAAAAATACTATGATCCCCAAAAGTCAACCCCCCCCCCTATAATTAATTTGTTCCCTTACATAAAATAATTATAATATAAATAAACTATACTATATAATATACGTTTTATATTATTATATTTTATTAATACTTAACCTTTTGCCGATTATTCGTCTGTTTGAAGTTTCTATAGTGAATATAAAATTGATAATTATTATTGTACTTATATATTACTACAATATTACTATATTATTAGCTTTATTACGTTATGGCAATACTATATTTTAAAATTTAAAATACAGCCGTTTATGTACTTCGTTTGTGCCCGTTTTATTAATACAGAATTTATTATTATTTTACTCGTAGAGTGTTGACCGTAGTTTTAATATAACTCTTAGTTTTGTTTACGGAATCTCGATGTAATTATCTTTTAATTCTTGTGGCCACATTTTAACATAAAAAATCCTTTTACATTCCTTGAAAATTTTTATTTTAGTTGTTTAACTATCGTTAGTAACTTATTGTAGATTATATAGTGCACAGTTAACTATTTTGTAAAAATAAACAAGTTGCATTCTTAACATTCTGCCGATAACTGAAAAAAAATTCTGTATATTTTAATAAAGATACCTACAAAAATTATAAATCTATCATAATATATGTATGTTTCAAATGTCATATTATTCAATAATAAAAGTACTATGAATGCAGGTATTATAATAATATTATCAATAATAATATTTCTAATATTACTTTACATTGAATACCAACTATATATATTATGAATTATGATGTATAACATTTCAGTAGGGCTGCGCTCACCGTGATGCAGGGATTGCCCGGAGGTGAGTAATGCCGGATTTTCGCACCGAGATACCGGGAAAATTCCCGGTGGGCCGATCCGAGTATTATAACTCTGGGCCGAAGTACACGGATTACAAATTATTTGAGAATATTTAACTGCATGAGTCTACTTTGTTTGTTTTCGTATACTTAGTGCCACAACAATGAGCAAGGTGTGCAATGAACCAGTGTTTGGCAAGTTCCTTATAAAAAGGCATTCGTTCCATTCCTCTTTCTTTTTTTTTTTTAAAAAGAAATTCGTTCCGTTCCTTGTTCCTTAAAAAAAAAGAATTCGTTAATTTGTCGTTCCTCTGGAAAATGAACGAAAATAACCTTTTTTAGTTCCAAATAAAATAAAAATTCTTATTTAACCATTTTTTTTTTCATATTATGCATTCTTTTTTAATTTTTAATTATAATATATAACTACAAGTAAGTACATATTTTATATGTTTAATTAAGCGTCGATTACATTGAGCGAATTTTTCACTGGAGTATAAAAACACCAGCGATTAGCGACTAAAGTAGCCCGGCCGCCAAATTTAATCGCGGGCGAGCAGCGAGTAGGTACTATCAACACGCGGCGGGTAAGCGACTAGACGGATTACATTGAGCGACTTTAGTTGCAGCGAGTTAATTCGCCAGTGATTAGCGAGTAAATTCGCTCAGTGTAATCGACACTTATGTAATATATTGTTATATATTTTGAGATTTTCTTCAAAATTAAATTTTTGGCTAACGTATGTCGAATGTCTAACCGTCGATACTCGATAACGATCACTAATTAGCAATATACATTAAACACATATAAAAAATATATATATATTGATATAAATTTTTACATACTTATCTGTGTAAATTATTGGAACTAGGAAGGAACGAACAATTTTGTTATTTTTCCTTAAAAAAAAGAACTAGTTCATTTTCTCGTTCTTTTTTTATAAAAAGGAATTCGTTCCAGGAATCCGTTCCTTTTAGAACTCGTTCCTTCCAAACACTGTAATGAACACAGTCGAGTGGTCACTCATCCAGGAGCTATAGTAGCAGCGGGCGTTATTTACACTCAGTCGCCTTCCTCGACAAGCCACTTTTTTTTAAGCTTATTCTGGTACCGAGGTACCGTTGCTGGTCGTCGACGACTGGAGAAAAAAAAAAACTAACAGTGAGTGTTGTTGAACACTCGGCAGGAACGAAGTTCAGTGCATGTGATGCGAGACGCGGAAACATATATAGTTAGAAAAATATAAATAAATAGAGATAGATAGAGAGAGAGAGAGAGAGAGAGAGAGAGACAGAGATAGAAATGAATGCTTGTATAAATATATCGCGCGCATGGTAATAAAATTATAATAAATTTTTTCTGAGTATTATGAAAACATGGTATTTTATTTTATAATCATTATAAAAGTACAAAGCAATAATTATGAAATTAATCAGTATTCTCAATAACAGTAACTATTGGTTTGTGGTAGCTGAAATATGTCACGTATGTTTGTGATTGAATTTTTTCTATATATCTCGAAAAAACTGCATCGATAGTGGTATTGTATCTTGTTGTAGATTCCGACGGATTATTATTGATGGTTAAGTCAAATTCTACTGAAAGAAATTTTAATAATGATACGGTTGATACAGCTTATTGTACTCGATTATCGTTTTTCAAAAGTAAATTTTAATTTCATTTGTTTAATAGATTTGTATGTATATAGAGAAGAAGGTAAATGGAAATCACAATGGAATTTATAAATTTATAAATTTAAGGGGCAAAAATTATTTTGAAAATAAAATTCTTATCACTTTCCTTATCAATAAAAACAATATTTATGAAAATCCCAATAAATCCCATCAAAAACTCAAAACCCCGAGTTTCCCCTTGGCGAGGTGGATGTTAGTACTCTCCCGGACCAAAATCCATCAAAAAATCAAAATCCAAAAGGGGGGAGAAGGTGCCCCCTTTCCCTAAAGCGGAAAACTGTAGTCTTCATAATAAGAATGGGTTCCCCCTTGATCCGAGGTCTTTAACTTGAATTCCGGCCGAGTTACACTCAACTCAAAATGTGGGGGGGTGGGGGCTTTGGTTCCCTAATGTTTAAAATTCATCTGGGGCCTAAAAAATTGAGATGCCCATTGGTCTGGGGTCTCTAAGTCGAATACCGGCTAAGTTATGCTTCGTCAAAAATAATTACTCGTTTAATGGGTCCCCCCCCCACTCCGCCCGACGTCTACGCGCGTGACGACCGATGTTGGGTAGCCTACGCGAATGGAACCGCAGTGTTGCCGGCAGCCGAGCAGGCAGGCACAGCCCCCCACTCTAAATGTTGCGTTTTTCAGTGTTACGCTTTTCGGTGTTACGCTTTTCGGTGTTGCGATTTTTTTCCAGCGACTCCCATCCACCCAACGCCCCATAAGGAACTTCGTTCCAAAAAACATTTAATTAAGCTATTAATCGACCGATATTGAATAGTCCATAAATTATAAATATATAATATTATAATATTGTTATAACGTTTAAGGATAACCACGACGGCACGGTTTATTTTATTTAACAAGTATTATTTATAGAAACAAATTAAGAATTAAGAGAATAAAAAAAAAAGTAGGTATTTAAAATACTGTTCAAAATAAAAATTATTCAATACGGAAAAAAGTATTTGAATACTTTTCCTCAGATAATTTACAACACTGGTTTTGTCAAAAGTCAAAACTAATGTAGAAATCTACCAGTCTAAACATAAATATCGTTATTTTAATATTTAAATATATTCAAATTTCGTATCTTAAAATAAATCTTAAAGGTGATACAATGAAGGGGCTGCAGTGAGGAAAAGAAAATGGTTTTTAGACCAAATAGCCAGACAAAACTGGAAGAATTTGGTTTGGTGGGTTTTAATTTTTAAAACTGATTTTTATTCATTACCACTAGGTTTTCATTTTGAATATCTATTTTGTCAGCTGTAATATGGATATCAAAGAATAAAAATATATTTTCGTATTTATATTAATACATTAATACGCATGATGCCACTTACAATAATCGGAATATTAAAAATCACTGGAAACCTAGTACGTAGTAAACTGGTTAATTAATAATATCCATTTTTAAAATGAAAATAAATCAAACCAAAATTCCTTCAGTTTTGTCGGACTTTTGGGTTTAAAAGTCACATTTTTTTCATCATCTGGAGCCCCCTTAACTTAGTAGGTAGGTACTAGGTACTATAACTGCAACTATCTGTAAATTGTAACAAGAATTTTGTAAAATATTTGCATGATGATGGGACTTCCGATGGGATGAAGTCACTGAGTTTGCATAGGTACCTACTTCATAGTAAAAACAAATGCGTATAGGTACCTAAAATAAAAAAACTTATGTCCCGTGATTAAGGGTTTTTTAATGTGAAAGTGCTAGATCATTCCTAGATCATTTTTATATAATTAATAATAAATAATAATAATAACTTGATTGCAATTTGTAACAATAAAATAATGTGGTGGGTACCAGCTATAGCATGTTTGTTTTAAACACAATCGTATCTCAAACGGTTGACTTATGGATTTTGGAATCAAAAATCAAACGAGAAACCTGTTTTTATTGTTTCTTAGTTCTATAATGTATCCAATGACCAATTTAAGTTACTAAATACTAATATTACACATTTACACAATAGGTATATCATATCATATCATATTATCCTCTCGACAATTACATGTACGTCTGGTACCTAATACCTATAGGTAATTCTATAGAATTATCATTAACACAACACTTTGAATAATTGTTGCAAAATTTCACCAGCTGTACCACAGTTTACCACTCTGTTGTAGTGGTGTGCCATATTGTTATTTGTCGCAACTTTTTTCATATAATATATGTAGGTACCAAGGTGGATACTAACGCGAATACGTGATAAATATTTGGCAAATAAACC